GCCATAGAGGCTTGTGTGCTCTCCTGCTCCCTTTGATCCTCGTTGGGATTACCTTCCTTTGGGCTTGGAGGATCATCTCCTTAAGGAGCCACCACTCTTCTTGGACACCTGGCTCCCCCTCCCCTCTGGGACCTCAGTGCTTCCCCAACTATCCTTCTTAGCTCGTTGAAGTTTGCCCTCCTGAAATCTAGGGCTGCTGCCTTACTGCATGCCTTTGCTTTACTAATGGCAGCATAAATGATTAAACCTAAAAGGATGTGACAAATCCATCTTCCTAGCCACCCATCATCCTCTACTTGCCTTTTGCAGCCTTGATACTTCCTGGTCTATATATGGTAGCATCACACTCTAGAACAACAAGAGAATATTTGCATCCAAGTGTAAACCTTATAACAGGACTCTGAAAGTAATTCAGAGCAATATTTCTGTTGCCATATTAAGGCGCTGAAAAACAATTTTCTTTCCTAAAAACTATTTAGTATTAAAATATATGAAGTTTTCATATATGTATTAAATCATTTTCATAACCTTCATTTGTTACTATTAATGACCAGCCTGCAGTTGGTCAGCCTCTTCTTAACTATGTACTTAGTCCTGTTCAAATTCCCACAATGGCAACCATGTGCCATAATATCTTAATTCTGATGCAAAACTATTTTGTTGTTTTTTTCCCTTTGAAATTATCTAATTTATTTTTGTTTCTCAATGCCATTAATGCTGGGATAACTTTCCTTTTTCAAAGAAGAGCTATTGTACATCTGGCTATCTACTGTAATTGTCTAAACTGAGAGTGTGGGAGCTAGCTTGTCTGAAGAGACCTGGGGCTGAATCTCTGGTTTTATTGAACTCCCTGAAAATGTTGACATTGCAGTGGGTTTCACCCATTTTTTCTGGAATATTGTACTTATTAATACCCCAAATGTGGATGTGTGAATTGGCTGTGTTGATTCAATTGTTAAAAACAAGCAGTGTCTTCTTGTAGGGCAGGTTTGTTATCTGCTTGGTACAACATTCAAATGTACCTAAAGTTAAGAAATGGAGTTTGAACTTATTGAACTGTCAGAATTAGATAGAGTTGCAGTAGAGTACATCCAGCCATATTTTATGGGAATGTGTTCAAAAACTACTCAGGATTTTGGGAAGTGATGTAAAACTATTTCATCATCACGGGGTCTGAAAAGGTAACTCACAAAGACTAATTCTTCCTTCAGACACATTACTGAAGTTCCCAAAATACTCTAATACTCTCATCACTGTAGTTCTTTCCATGGAATTCCACAGAAAGGCAGAATTAAGTCAAGCCAGATGTATTAAAAAAAAAAATCTAAAATCTATTTTTTTCCAAGCTGAGACATCTTAAAGTGCTAGTTATCCACCAGCTGAAACCTAAGCCTTTTAAAAATGTCTCAACATGGGCACTTAGGAATGGAGATGCTTAAAAACAATAACTGCATTAAAAATGTTGGCCTAATAGTTTATTTAAACTGTTCTACTCTTACTCATGCTGTTGCCTTAGTTTAAGTGCCTTCTCTTCAGCAGGCTTTTGTGTCTATAATTCAGGGACTATTGGTGTCTGGCTTTTGTAATGGTTAGGGAAGTAGTAACAGCTGTTTTGTTGTTTTCATTTCTTGTATTATGTTATTTCATTAGCCACCAGCATCAAAGAATGAACAGTGATGGGTGAAAAAACAAACTCTCAAATGCTGGCATAGAAACAGTGGCAGTAATGTCCTGTGGGAGTTTTAGGCTGACAATAATCATAGAGAAGTAGGGCTGGAAGAGTCATCTTAGTCCAATCCCCTGCCTGAGGCAGGATCAACCCTATCCAAATCATCCTATACAAATCCGTTGTCTAACCTCCTAGCAAAACTACAGTTAACCCTGACACACAAGACATAACATGCTAATCTGCCACATGTAAAGCAAGGGGATAATGATGGCCAATGTCCAGCTGCTGCAAAAGGTTGTTAAAAACTCTCAAGAGATCCAGGGAAGAGGGTTAACTCCTCCCCACCTTCCCCCTCTACAGAGGAAGGCAAAACCCTCACAGTCTCTACCAGTTTGACTATGAGCGAAAATCCCTTCCTGACCCCGGTCTGACTCTGAGCGGAGGGGCAAGACCCTCTAGCCAAGAACTTCCGTGTGTAAGACCCAGCAGGAGTATGGGCACATCCCAGTCAAAATCCCCAGCCTTGGCTGCAGCCAACACCCAGTGCTTCTGAGGAAAGCTTAAAAAAAACCCAAACCAACCCTGACATAGCAACAGGAGGCGAAAAATTCCCTCCCTGCCCCATGTGGCAACCAACAAAGCCCAGAAGCATGGGCTATGCTCATAATTGAACATAGGCGTGGCTATGCCCGGATCATCCTTGACCAGTGCCTGTCCAACCTCTTGAATAACTCCAATGATGGAGAGTCCACAACTTTCCTAGGCTTCTATTCCACTGTCTCATTCTGCGCTTACACAATTATCTCTATCTTTAATACCCCTAGAAATCTGTCTCTCTGTGATCTTCAGGTTATCATTTGCCGTCCTCCACAATGGAGTCTCTTGGGGCTTGTCCTTCACAAGTGGTGGAGATGGGAGCATGGTGACAGTGCTAACGCAGTAGAGCAGGGTGGAAAAAGCTGAAAATACTTGAGCATCACACTTAACAGTGGACTTAGTATCCAGTGGGGCACACTGCTGACCCCTGCATGAGTAAACCTCAGCAGGCAGAAAATGTATATAGTCATAATAAAAGGTTCCATTTATCTCTTTCTGAATTTTTGTCTCTGTTTATCCCTTTCTCAATATAGATAAAAGCAAAGATTAGAACTGAAATTAACGCTGTGAAGTCTGGAGCAAAGCCAGCAGTGAGATTCTGTTTATCTGAGCTCAATTGGCTTTTCTAGTATAAAAATGGAAAACTTTGGGTGTACGTGCCAGAATCTTTCTCTGGCTGGGATGATGTTCAAGGACCTGAAACTTCCTTGTGTTTGTTAGCCCACTGGGACTCATATTGACCTCAGTTGTTCCAATGTAAAGTCTGGCAGTTGCCCTGAAGGAAGGTACTGTCCATGTTGTAGAAGTAGAATTGGAATCAACTTTTATGGGATTGCTTGCATTTACATGGGGTGGGGACTTGGGGGGGGTAGGGTGTCTAATTTCTGTATTGTATCACACTAACTGCAAGTTGTTCTAGCTGCTTTCCTGGAAGAAATAACTTACAGCATCTTTTTATCTTTCTTTGTGTTCAGCCCTCAGTGCCACCAGTGCCAAACTACAAGCTCTCCATGTCTATCCCGGAATGGCTGCAGGCAATACAGAACTATATGAAGATGCTGCAGTATCCTTCTTGAAATGGGCCTTAAGATAGAAGGCTGAGTCATCATGTTCTGTATCACGTGCTTAGTGAATTGATGGGGTAACTTGTTGAAACACGGGCCTGGCCCAAGGGCAGAAGACAATTTGGGAGGGAATTATTCACTCTTCAGTTTTCAAGTACTCATGAAGATATATGAGACCACCTTAGTGTTGAGCACCACATTGCTGATAGTCTAGGCTGTGTAATTAGCTTTAGCTGACACTGAAAAGAGTTTACTTGAAGTGATACGTTAATAGACCTGTTTATTTTAAGATTGGTATGTGCAGTGGTTATGGTTAGAGTTCATGGAGCTTGGATTTGTGCACTGCATCATATCCTGACAGCAGGACAGTAGAGTACTTTCAGTTCACGTACCCATTGCAAACTTTTCTCCTTCTTCCACCTATGACTAAAACATTTTCCTCTACACTGAATGTGATGCTTTCTTCAGTTGGATAACTGCCACTTCTCACTACAGGAAGGATTTTCCTGCCTTAGCACAAGGGCAATGCCCTGACCTTCTCCAAACCAGTTTGCAGTGAGGCTGAAATTGTACACTTAGAGTGCAAGAGCAGGGGATGGGAAGGGAGTCCCGCTTCTAAATTTCCCAGTGTCTGTGAGTCCAGTCAGAGCTCTCCATGCATCTCTTTCCCCTCCCTCCGCACCAGGAGCACTTACTATATATTCACTGCATGCATTCAGAGTGATGGAGTGTGCAATCGCTGGCCTTAATATTGAGTTAACTTCTTTCATCTTTCTCCATTTGCCAGTCCAACTCTCTCTTTTAAGTTTCTCCTCTTTCTGTGACACCAAGAAAGCTGAATATTGCAACCAATGGGTGCAAGCTGCTGGGGAGGATCTGGGGAGGGAGATTAATGGCAACTAGAAAAGCATTCAAAAATAGCCAGAGGGTTTGGCCAATGCCAGCTGAGATCAAAGCACCAGCAGATCCTGCAGCAGCACTTGAACCCATGACAAGGTGATGGGGTCAGTCTGTGGTACAGACAGCTAGTCTCGGACACAACATTTCTTCCTTCTTTCCTGCATGGTTCCTACCTAGGTTCCATGAACAACTTATTGGCATGTGCGTTGAAGAGAGAAGTGGCATAACGCAGAACGGGAGGCTAGAGCACAATGTGAAACCCACATCTGAGAGTATTAATTTAACAGGGCACACAACTCTACTTAGTGCAGTTTTTCCTAACTGTGTTCTGACAGGTGGGAGAAATGAGTGTAAGAGTCAATTTTGGATCCAGGTCCAAGCAAGCTTTAATATCTGCTAGGGCTGAGATCCAGGGTTGTGGTTTCTTGTTGAGGGTTAGAATGGCACTGTCACTTCACGCAGCATACTCCAAACAGAAGAAACACAGATGAGATCAGACCGGATCTTGGGTTCTGTTTTGCCTCCAGCACCTAACTTTTTCAAAGGCACTGAGCACTCTCAACTAACTGATGTCACTTGTTCTGAAAATGTTGGCTCTTGATGCTGTGAGTCAGAGGTTTGTTTGGTCAAAAAATCCTGATGTTTTAGTTTCTGTTGCCTCTAGCATGAGGTGTACAATGAGCTGATGGCACATCCTCCCCATATTGTTACCAGATGCTCTCATTTTTGCACTATTTACTCCGTCATGGGGCTTTCTATAGCAGAGAATGATTTAGACTTTCCAAATATATATATCTGCATGTATACAGGGGAACTTACAGAGAATAGACCAATTCTTTGCATCAAGGATCTTTGCATAAGTTGTTTTAAACACAAGGTAATAGTTTAGGGTAGACTCATAAACTTTATTTCTTGTGCCTATGAATGCTTTTTATTTTTCCCTACATTTTGATAGAAGAGGAGGGGAATGGTTCTTGGGGCACCAGACAAGTAATAATTGGATCAGGTTCAACAGCCTTATTTGCTTGAATCTCTCCATGTAATTCCAGTTAATAGTTGTCATACAAGGACAGTTGGAAATAAAACTTAATTACATATTTTATGGATGAAATTTCATCTCTGTCATGAGAGTTAATGGCCTTTTTAGTGCCTGTTTTATGTTTCCAAAGGAAATTATGACTGGACATGAAAAGAGACTTTGCACACCTTTGCATAGTTACATTATTTAACTTTTTAAAAAAGTAGCTCTACTTTAACTAACAAAATCCAGATACAATCACACGGGAACTCAGTTCTTTGAAATTAGAAAAACAAGACCTCTAAGTGGGTAAGTGGCATCTCCTACCTGCAGGTTTGTTTAATTCTCCTATGATCAAGGTGGCCTGCAATTCTTTTGCTAGACATCTAAGCAAAAGATGTCTGGCATCTAGTTTATTGGCTGACAAATGCACATACTTCAGTGAAGTCATCAGCCAAAGATCTGGTCCATAGTTTTTATGTCTGCTGCACTTCACTGTACATGTAGTCACAAGTATCTGTTCTGAGTTGAGCTTGCATTGGAGACTCACTAGCATCTCCATGCTGAATATGAAATCCTTCAACTAGTCAAGGACTCTAGTGTAAATCCCACTGAAGTCAATGTGAAGTCAGTGGGTGTTGCATCAGTTTACCCTGGGGTTATTTTTTGCAGGGCAGAATGATTCTTGCCAGTATGATGGGAGCACTTGGGATAAGTGGATGATAGTTGCTTGAATCCCAATGTGGTCTTTTAACATGTTCCAAGCAGAGTAGGTTATGTAAAGGGGTAAGAGGTTAAGAAGAGTAGTGAACTAACTGAAGTTTGTGATGGTGAGGGTGGCTTTTTCAGAGGAAACTGAAGAGTTTCCAGGAGTTTTAGTACCAACTCAAAGTGACTCCTCTTTATATCTTATGTGTTCTCTTTCCACACCTACCCCCTTCTTCCCTCCCCCATTCTTCTAGTTGCAGGCTTTTGCTCAGGGTGGTTTTTCCTCTAGTCTCAGACATGTGGATTCCTTCAGCATCTCCTGAGTTTCTCCTGCTGTCTGTCTCTCACACCTTGTCCCCATCTCCCTTAACTTGTATGTACCTCACTTTTCTGGGAGGATTGCACATGCCTGCCACACTGGCAGTTAGGACTCAGCCCCTTCTGTATTCGACAAGAGAAGCTGCATGCCCCCTCCCACCACCACCAAAGGGCTGCATTGCGTAGGTTCTGGAGGATGCCTCTGTGCATCCATCCTTGCAAAGGCAGTGACTGCTGCTGCTGGTTGCTGGGGCCAGACTCTATGAACTGCTGTTCTCCCTGACATCACTAAGAAGGGCTTTGCTTACTGCTGGTCTGTTTATCCATCTGATTACCATGGGCAAGGCCCACCTGGCTAACTAGTAGCCCCTTTTTGTGGGGGCTAATGGATGAATGCAACAACTAAATTCATGGGACAACTAATGAAAATAACAGGATAGGAGTGTTGTGTGGGTCAAAGGGTCAAAACGTGAAAATAAGTGTGCCTAAGGGGAACACCGAGCATAGCCCCCCCATGCCGCACCCACTGGTCCTCAAAGGCATCCAAAGAGCTGGTAGATGCCACCCCCTGGGACTGTGCCTGGAAATGTGCATGGACAGCCAGTAAACCTATAGAAAGCCAAACACTTGAGACAGACTGACCCACCTCATTTAGTGCTTTTCTGCTAGGTTCCTTTGTTTACCGACTGGAAGAACTGGAGTGGCAGATCTTTTCATTTTTATTTTTTTTGGCCTCCTAGCATCAGACGTTGAGAAGATCAAGCTAGGGTTTGGCAAGGGATTTAGTCAAGGGATTTTTGTCTGGGAGTCTGCTGGGAGCATGGACTGCCTTCTCCCTCATGCAACTCATCCCTCTCTTAATATTGAAGAGCAAAAAATGTAAAGGCCTTGAACTTGCTGTTACACTTGAAAAGGCAAGTATTACAGGTCTGTTGTGGATTGTGCTTAGAAGACCAATGTGCTTTTTTTGCGTACAGCTTGCTTATTGCATTACCTTCCAGTGGCAGAAAGCTGAGGGTATACAGGAAGCAGAATATTCCAGGACTAACAGGCACTCTTTGAATGCAAGCTTTACTTCCTGAAGAATAACAAAAGACCCTTCCAAGCTGTGGCCTTGATTCCCAGATCACTTACTTCTGTGCACACAGCAGGCACAGGCTTTTGAGTGCATTTTACACTTAGCGGTCATTTGAAGAGGTTTAAACATCTACACAAAGCATAACGGAGTGGAGAATTGGGACCTGTTTTATATAAGAATTGCATCATGTGTGGCAGCTATGTAGTAGGATCCAGCAATACTATCCAGGAGTTTAGGGCAGAAACTGAATGCTAAAACATGACATTTTGTATTGCAGGAGTAATTTTAGATCAGGAGAATGTAATTACCCATGTAGATAGATCTTTGTCTGTCTGTCTGCTGTACAGACATGTCTTATCTAAGGTTCTTGAACTTCGTGACATCCAATGACATGGCTGACAAACTGCCAGAAGCAATGGTTTGCCACAGATCTGCATGTAAACTACATAATTTTAACAAAATTTGAACTCCCCATGCAGTCGTGTTTGCTTATGTCAATCTCTTTCTTGACAGATTAATAGAAGTTTTTTTTTGTTTGAGCTTCACCATCAATCATTGCTTAAGGTTTTGATCCATTTTTGGCTGTATTTTGGGGTCCTGTGAGGTGCATTTGATCCTCAGGTTACTCAGAAAACAACTAAAATAAATATTTAGGAAAGGGTAATTTTGATAATTATAGCATGATGAAAGAACTAAAGAGGCCTGTGATGAATGGTTCAAACCTCTAGCTAGCATCATGACTTGTTTGATCTCATTGGGCGCATCTTCACGAGATTCTTAATTGTGCAGTAGCATAGTTTACTGTAAACTAAGCATGTGTAGCTACACATGCGCATCCTTACTACACAGTAAACCTTGCTAATTGTGAGTAAATGTGCTACCTGCAATGCAAGTAGTGAATTTACGTTTGGCTGGTAACAGCGCAGTAACGCTCATGTAGACGACTGACTAGGAGCAAATCTGCTCCTGGTCAGTCATCCACCAGGAAGCAGGAGATCTCTCCTTGCCCCTGGAGCTGCCTGCTGCCAGGGTGGGCTCTGCCACAGAAGCCAGGGCAGGGACTAGGTCCCCCTGCCCCAGCAGCGGGGAGCTACAAACCCCCTGCTCAGCCGAGCGGAGCAGAGGTCTGGGAGATCCTTATCTCTCAGTGCCAGCTCCACAGTTGCGGGGCTGGCTCTGGGAGATCCTTATCTCCAAACACCAGCTCTGTGGTCTGGGGCCAGTGCTGGGAGATCCTTATCTCCCAGCTCCAGTTCCATGGTTGTGGAGCTGGCACTGGGAAATAAGGGTCTCCCAGCCCAAGCCCTGTGACTGTGGAGCTCAGGCTGAGAGATAAACCAATTACTGTGCAGTAAGTGTCTGCATGTGTAGACATGGATTCTTACTGCACAGTAATTAGATCTGCTGCAGTAAAGCATCTCATGTAGATGTGCCCTGTATATGGATTTAGGTTCTTGTCTTCATACACCCATCTTTGAAAATATTTACCACGGCAACTTTATACCTGAGTTTCTGTAAACTGGGAATAAAACTCATCTCTCTACATTGGTCTAAGGTACCCTGATACAAGAAACTGCATGAGTCAGATCATCAGATAGCATAAATTGAAATGAGTGGAGCTACATAGATTTAAATCAACTAGGGGGTCTGGGTTTTTCAATGCAAATAGCTTCTAGAACTATTATGACTGACACTGGGAAATTCTGCTTGCTCTGGAATTGCTTTGTTATTAGCAAATGAGTGTTAAGAAAAATTCCAGTTTACAATCATAATTCTTATTTATTGTAAGGAAAAATTACTTGGTTGGCATTGTGTTTTCCAGCTGCCCTATGCAGCTGTTAATGAAACTTGAAGCCAGGGAACAGGCTCCCATTCAGCATGCCATGTAAGCAGCATGCAAGTTTATCCTTATTCAATAAAATAAGTACATGCTTGAGGACTTTAAAAAAAAAAAATCAGAGGTTGCCCAGCACTTTGCAAAATCGGGGTCAGTACACTGGAAAAAGGAAAATAATAATAATAAAAAATCAAAGGCTGCTGGCCAAGGTGAAGGTTTCCATTTTGTTGCAAATGCTGCCTGCCAAATTCCCTTCTTTTCAGGGACACTTCCTGAGGCTGTAGGCTCAAACGAAAAGGGTTTTTTTGATTACTGAAATCACAAAGCAGGAACTGCAAAAGCTCCCTGGGGGTGTTCAGGACTGTTCAGGAGCATGGATAGGACTAATTTTGCAAGTTTTCTGCTGAAGTTGCAGTTTAGAACCAAAGTCCCCACATACAGCTGAGTTTCATCATGGTTTTGTTCTTTGTTCAAAAACTCCGTAATAGGATGAATTGCATTGATAACTTTCATGGTTTGTTTTATAAATTATTGGGATTAGGTTGGAGGTAAAGGCCTAACCTTAGATTGGGACCCCTTTGTGAAGAGACCCATTTGAATTACCGTGGCTCTAGTACATTAGGAGCTGCATTGTGGCAAGGCCCTTTATCTCCAAATTGGGACAGAGGGAGCTTACTTTATGAGACAGGCCTGAAGAATTTTTGATACAGTATATGCTTAACAACTGTTTAAGTAGGATGGCTTCAGATGTTATCTGTTAGGGTTGGACTCTTAACAATGAGTACTGTTCCTTATGGTATTGAGTTTTAATTGCTTTATTTGTGTGACTATAGTCAAACACCTAAGTTCAGTGCTTTCTTATTTGCATGAGGAAGAACATGCAATCTGGCCTTGCAAGTCTATCTCTTTAGAACAGGGGTCAGCAACCCCTGGCATGCAAGGCCATTTTGCTCAGCACACCACCGCCAGCCTGAGCTCTAAGCAGCTGCTGCCAGCCACGGAGCCCAGGCTGCTCCCAGCAGGCGGCTGGGAGGCTGCTAGCCCTGCTGCAAGCAGACCGGGCTCCGTGGGCCGGCTGCAGCCAGGAGGCTGCAAACAGCTGCTCGGGACTCCGGCATGTTGGCGCTCCGGCACCTTTCAAGGTAGACATTGTGGGTTTTTTCGGCACTCTGGCCAAAAAACGTTGCCTACTTCTGCTCTAGAAGGTTACCCAAAGTTTGTTCCAGCCTTTCTGTAATGGAGAGCGACCACTGTAATTTGAGCTGTAGGGGATTTTAGGGAAAAGTCCAAAATTTAGCATTTCCCTGAAGCCCAGGAAAACTGCTGTTTGGCTGGAAATGACCTGAAACCACAGAGGACAGGGAGGGT